AATTACACAACACCAGAAAAAACGCAAACAAACTGAAAAGAATGTGACGTTTTTCGGAACAGGGATGTGATAAGTATACGAATGCGATCTATCCTAATTTCTTGGTCCATTGGAAATTACTGTACTTCCTTTACAATGTAATATACAGAAAATGGATTATTTGAAATCTCCGAACCAATCTTCAGGGTACTGCTCACTTTAGCAGTATAATTAGAGACTGTTGGCAATACAATTTTTATGTGTTTCATATGATTTCATTGATAATTACTTCTTTGACAGAAGATGGCATTTCGGAATGAGATAGATGTGTATCGTTTATCAGGCTCAACTACATCTTCATTTTGGATGAAGAAATGAAATTTAATTGTAGAATGGGCTCATAATTTTGAGACATCCTGAAGACTATGTTATAATCATTCCACTGGGCATCATATTGGACCTGTATAATTTTCGGAAATCTGGAGGAACTAGGCAGCATAATCTTTTCGCTCAACGCTAAGGTTTTCAGTTTGTTTCGTTATTTTCTGCGCAATATTTGACAGAAATGCTGCCGCATTCGGACTGAAAGCGTTTTGGATTGTGCGAATAATCTACTTCTTCTTGTGTGCGTTATTGCTGATCATCTGTTGAACGACAAATCGTGGTAGTATTCCGTCGAATGTTCAGCAAATTCAATTTTGTTTGCATTAATTATATTATAGTTTATGACGCTGTAACAGCAAGAAACTGGATGATTTTAGAAGCATTACTTCACGTATATACAATAGTGCAAATGATACACTTATGAGAACATAGGTATAGATAGATTTGTCATTTTTCACTAGAGACTTTATGACTAAGTTTGTTTATCCACAGGGAGATTCTGTCTAAGACTGGCTTCAAAGTTATTTCGATCAATTAAGAAGCGCAATAAGTAGCAAATGACAGTTCTAAGAAAGCTTTCTGTTGTAGTCGATGGGAACATGTAGTGGAAGTGAATATCTTCATGTAAGGAACATACCGTATTCTTATGTCTGTACAGTGGATGCTCTTTTTTATTCAATGTCATTTTGGCGAAGTGCACTATGCTCGAAACTGCATTTCTGATCAGCGATCAGGCACTATAATAAAGGGTCCATTCGCACGCTATGGTAATCTGTTGTCATGTGATAAAACTGTGAAATCCGTCACACCGAAGAATCAAATGTGTTCCCTCAGCATCGTGCTAACGCATTGACGCATCTCATCCGAGTCTTGTACCAACCCATCTGATTTGGTTTTCTTTCCACTAATAATCGATCGTTAATTCACTAGCCGATTATTAAGCATTCTCCGGAATAGGATGGAAATACTCATGATCACCGTCAGTTCCCGATCCTGTGCCAGAGTCTGAGCTTCAGCAAAAGACAAATGAAGTTTGAACAGACTCCTTCTATATATTTGCATCAAGTTAATCATGGCCGTCCCCTGGGCCTTCTGCTGGTCGGATTTGCAGGGAACAATTGCTTAACGTTCCTTTCTGGTGGCATTCGCAACACATGCCCAAGCCATCGCACATGGAAATACTGCCGATTTTTAATACTGATGCGTATAATAGCGACAAAATTCGCCACGTTTTCAGGAAAAAATCAATGCGCTCGATTCTACGCTGAAGTGTGCAAATTGCACCAGGTTCATCATTGGGATCATTGAAGAACTAATACTCAGAGTGTGTTTTTCGTTCTGAGCGCAATATTTCGATAGATAATTTACTTTGTATTTAAAATATACGTTGGCATTAATGTTTCTGTTTGGTCCTCTTGTTGTAGCGCTTTTGTAGAAGTAATGTTTGTCTGTTCTTCTCTTGAGTATTTTACGGTAATATCGTAGAGTGCGTCATACTTAGCTGCCTATCGACTAATTTACAGTATTCATGGGCCGGACCACAACGTAATTACAATTACTACTCACTTTTTACATTTGACGCTGAAGTATGGTTCTGAGATTTGTTAAAGTGATGAAATAATAGATTAACTTTTTTGTGTGCATAATTTGATCTTAGACAGTTGTGTGAAGCATGCGCGTACGACGCATCCTGTTTGCTGAGGAAATTTTTTTATTTCCAACGCGATCACTTCGTTTCCTCGGGTTCGTTTCTCGCTGAAGGGAATTTGTTTGAAAGAAATTGTTGATGCCTACTTGCAGTTAGTTTTACTTTCTAACGTAAAATCGTAAAATTTGAGTATGAACGATGAGTGGTACGCTCTCTGTTCGGCAGCTGTTTTGCAGCTGAACTGACTACATGATGAACTAGTATACGATCACTGATAAGTTTACTCTGAGTTGTGAATTATACGTTGTTGGTTGAAATGAAATATAACTTGATAAATGATTATACCAATCCAGATGTATAATTTTAAGAGAATTCCCAACTATTCAAACGTTCTATCTCCTTTTATCCCTAATTTTGGATAAGGGAAGAGCATTATCAGGCAGAGGAAGAGTGTACGTTAAGTTGGAAAAAGATATATAGAGGTTCTTAATGATGACATATAAAGAAAGAGACGGTTAGAAGAGAAATGGTTTTAATATGTTACGTTTTTATTATGCAGTTGTATCCATTCTTCAACTAAATAAACGGCCAGTTCGGTATTTGTGTTCCCATAATGGCCGTGGATGAGTTAGTAGTAGTATTTGGTGTGGTTGTATCATGGTATTTTGCATGGCTTTATCAAAGTCATCTCTGTGTATGCTCTGTGATGGAGATCTGTTTTATATGGTTATAACTGTTTATACGCTAATTTTACAGATCTACGTAAAGTCTCTAGAAAGCCTTGAGGCGCTGTAGTTTGGCTCTGACATGACAGAGCATGGTGCTGTGCAACTGCGCAAAGCGCAGTAGCACGGAAAAGATATCTCAAGCATGTCGTTTTGTAACCACAGCAACTCAGCTGTGGTTGTTTATCCTGAAGCAGTTATTTTGACCCATGTTCGAGGGAACCAAACAAAGCACATGATAAAATTTTTATTACCTGCTCGTTTCGTAGCACTGTCATGGTAAAGTTGGTCAACGTTCGAATGTCGGTCTTCATGCACTTTCATAGTTGGCCCATTTTGGCGCCCTTCTTGTCACGAGATTGATGGCGCGATGCTTATTTATGCATCTCGGTAATGAGAAGGTCGAGTGATCCTGAATGGGCTTCAACTCAGAATATATCGATTGTGAATTGGACACATTAGAGACTTAGTAACCCTGATCTGAAGCGATGTGTGGCAAATTGCTTACTCAAGGGAATTCGTGAAAGATTGCCTTCGAGCAGATTCTAAACCCCGCACTTCCTGAGTTCGAAGCAGACCTCCTCTTAGACAAGTACGCCACAGGTAAAATGGGTGGCCTTCTTGTTTTCTGAAAGTCTGAAGTGATACTGGGATGAACGAATGGCGGTATAAATGCTTATAAATAGACGTATTTATATATTTTTACCCAAAGATTGATCTGAGAACAGCAGTTTGTTTAACAGGCTTGCCTTCGATCATCGGAAATTAAATTACTTCATAGTTTTCCCAGTTTTAACCTACGACTGATTATATGCTTATTTTATCATCATTTAAGGTTCATTAAGTTCAGAAATTACAGTTGCCAAGATTTGTAACATACACCCGGTTCAAAATAATAAACCAAATTTACTTTATCTAACATTTACTGTTACGGGTGATCGTGTTCGGCTAAGATAAATTCCTAGCAAGCAGTTGGCAAGCTTAGAATGCAGACCGCGTTCTCTTCTTGCAAATAGACGGGTCACAATTCAAGAACTGTCACACAGTTTTGTCAGCGATATGTATGATCAGTCATTTTGCTGATAAATTGTAGTTTTAGTTTTGGCGTTAATCAGGGTGAAAGGTTAAAACGTTTTCGGCTGCTGTGGAAGTCGTGTGCATCGAACCCACTTAGTTTCTATCTGACGCTTTTCTTGATGCCGAATGCCGATTTGTTTAAGCCAGTCCATGTTCTTTTGAATATTTTCATTCACACATGACAGTTCAGTGAATTACGTGGCTTTCGATCTCATCTCGTTCAAAACGCTATTCAGTTTATTAATTTTGAAGAAATATTTTGATACTTTTCGTTTCTAGACCCAGTATCTCTTTAGATCTCAGCGACACTCCCCTATGGTCGATTATGATAATTTTAGGTTTTCACAAATTGACCATTGCAAGAAGAGTTTCTTGTAAAACCCTGTTATTTAGGAGACCTTCAAGAAGATTGTCGCAATGCTTTATGATGTGATTTAAAGTTATTATGTCCTTAATTTTCGAGGCTTCATTAAGTCGTTGACGTTCTTTCCATGTTTGCCGTTTGTGCCTTTACTTTCGTCATGTCCTAGCAATAGAAGTCAGGTGTCTGTCTTACCATTTGTATAAAAAGCGAGATAAAAATGTGCTGGGACGAAGTGAGTGAATTACCAACATTGTAGCAGTTACTGATTGACGTCTTTCTGCCTTATTCAAAAAGTCTTATTGGTCTTCATTTTTGCTCAGG